ATGTTTTCATCAACGATAATCGAGATTTTCCCTAATGGCACATTGTAAAAGGGAAATTCCTAGCGATTGCCAGGTGAATATTCTCATGAAGTATTCTCTTAAGTTTCATATTAGGGGAGTGAGCACTTAAGTGCGAATGTAACACCGACCAGGACGACATCAAACAGCAAATTTGGTTCCATTCGCAGATATTTTTGGTCCCATTCAGGAAGTTCATCGGGCAGCATTTCATCACCATCCTCATTTTTTGTTACAAACGATGGATCATCCTTATGATGCTCACACCATTCCAACACCTCAAATATCATAAAATGCTTTTCAACTGGATTCACATATTTGATACTTGATTTACAATATTCTCTGCAACGAATTAGTTACTATAGATGGTGACCCTCAATGAAATTGCGAACTCAATTTCTCTTAATGGAACTGATTCGTTCATCGTTACAAACCATCAGATTTCATTCGATACCGTGAATGTATGAACGAACTGCTTGTTTTACAATTGTACAAATAAGGGAATCAAAAAAAAAACCAGGAGGGAAATCCAATTGAGACAGCACTATCACCAACTTTCATTAAAGTTGCTTCCTCAACTTCCTCTAATGGAATTGCATCTTTCAACGTCGTCGAATCACCAGATTCTCCTTCTTGCAAATCTGAAAACGCGAACGACTCTATCAAATTAAACATTCAATCACTGATTAATGTTAGTGTTGACATCAAATGAATTAGGTAATTTTCCTTCATGTCACACACTAAATCATCACAAATTTGAACCTGAAGTAGACTGAAACACTGTTCAGGAAAAAATATGAAATAGTGTAAGTGAATAACACGTAGACCAATAGAAACATTTCACCGATGAATCATCGCTGTCAAGGATATGCACTCTTATGTAAAACATACTTCCGAACACTCTCTTCAAAATTTCGAAAGCTTTTGAGTCGGGAAAATAATTCAAATACGAAAAGAGGATGGAAATTCAAATCAACATAAAACCTTGTAACATGTTATCAATCAAAAGCGATTTTCGTATAACACTTCGATCAACCGAAACGTTTTTACCATCCTTCGTTCGTAACAACACTTCAGCACACATGTCAATTGTTCCTGACCAAATAAAATAAAAGAATACAACAACCAAATCAACAATTATCGAACATTCAACGTGTTTTGGCGTTAAAAACGAATTAATCTCGACACTGAACGTAAATCTCCATTGTCACATGTATAAAGCAGGAATGACGAATGTTACGAGCGAACTGCACCACCTATGAATCAAAGTAAAAAAAGGATCGATAATGAACCGAATCGACAACAGAACTCATCGTAACGTCGCAATATTTTTTAACATTCAACGTTGTCAAAGCTGGTTCGATTATGAGACATTATGAAATCACTTTGAATGATTCATCGGAGTCGACAAAAACTGAAAAATTGTATACGATAAGTGAGCATGTCGATGGTTCAAATCACTCGTTATTCACCAATCGAACGTTATAAGAAGTTGCTGAGGATAATTGAAACTGTTAGTTCCTTTACGCTAAGAGAAACGAAAAGGTTTACGAATGAGTTCATTATTAATAAGAATTTCAAATAATGGAATGAACGACGTTCCGATGCGTATCACCACAAGCAAATCCGTCACCAAGGTAGCGCAATAAAGACATTCCACTGAATACAGACTTCGATGAGAAATACGAGACGAGTATTTGCTGAGCATAATGAACTACTTGTCGCTATGATTCATAAATGTGTTTTTTATAGGAAACCTACAAACAGAACATGTTGATGAAATATTTTGCAATCGATTACTTCGTTGCCTAAAACTCTTCACTCCACTATTTTTATTTGAGCAAAAAAAATTGCAATCATTTTTATCTGATTGTGAGCGTAAAAATCGCTACACCGTGTAAATAGAACTTTTTCTCTTTAAGCCGAAAGCAGAGTCTTTTTAAAGTAGTCACAAAAAAAGTATTTCGTAAGTTCTTTAATACATTGACTGACATCATCCTTTCATGAGCAGTGGGGATTGTGAAACTAATATTTGGTGGAATTATTTGTTATGATGAAATGTCTTTGTGGTGATATTTTCTCCACTCGGGTATCTAAAAGCTGCTCGCTCATGGCAAACTCTTCTTTATCCTATTTTATGAGTATCTTTAGTTCGCCTAGGCCTGAACAAG